CTTCATGGTCTTTTTTTTTAATTTATTAATTTATTAAAGATTTCTGTCTCTTCCCCGCCATCGCCTCCCATTTCTCTCCCCCTCCCCCAATTAAGTCCACGGTCTTTGTATCAGCTCCTGCCTCCAAGTTCCTGCCTTGACTTTCCTCAAGGAACTTCTATTCAGGATATGTAAACCAAATCAATTCTATTCTCCCCAAGTTGTTTTTAGCCATAGTGTTTTATCACAGTAATAGTAACCATAACTAAAATAGCCAGTTTAGATTTTGTATAGATTTGTGTTAAATTGTTAATGATGATTAAAACAGTAATCATCTTATTTCTGTAGTCCTAATGCCCTCCCCCCCAATGGGATAGAGAGGAGAGCGTCTCAGCTTTCCACCTGCATCTCTGGGAATGAGGTACTTCTGCTGCCTCTTTAGTAGCACACACAATGACCTTACATTTTTCTTTCATTTTTCTCTACCTAGAACTCAACTTGGGATGTACCGCATACATTGGCACTGCTATATTCTGTTCAGCAATGACTTGCACCTATAAAAAACCGTTATGTGAGTAAGACGATAAAACCCATTGGTGACAAGGAAATTGCTGCTGCTGCTGCTGTAATGGTTTAGGGTATGTTACCACTCATCCATTAAGTGCCATTATTTCTGATGTTTTCAGTCAAGAAGATGTCAGCCTTTTATAGTCCTAGGGCAGACAGTAAAGTTGAGTGGGACATTTACCCCGTCTCATGAAGTACTAAAGACAAGTGCTTACCTCAACGCTACTTGCACCAGCAAGGGCATTCCCAAATGCATGCTCCTGTTTTTTAAGGAAAGATGAATGTTCCAACGAAAGTTAAAAAAGAGTAACAGGTGAGCATGGCAGTATTTTAGAATTTTATATAGGTTGGTACATTTTCTCCTGGGGAAGACTGCACAGAGGAGGCCTTTAGAAGTAGGATAGAACAGACTATGCTTCACAAGTGAATTTATTAGCATCTCTCTGGGGGGTCAAGAGACACACTCAAAGCAGCTCTTTAATGTTGTGCGCTAAAATTTCCACAGTTTCTGGTACAAAGATATATTCATGTGGTGTGACTTTCCAAAAGAAAGTAACCGACCAGAACATATGAAAGGCCTGATTTGGAGTGGCTTAAAAAAATACTGCTAACAAACTAAGTGACCATTTTGACATTCCCATGCCTTGCAGATTAATAAAGGGGTAGTGCCATTAATTTTCTTTTATTGTGAAAACATTAGCAAGTCTCATTTTGTCCCAGTCTAAGTGCAGTTGGTAACCTCTGAGTGTCACAATGGTGCTGGTTGTGCAGGTTTTAGGCTATTCTGTACTAAAAGAGAAATTGTCAAGGAGTACAGCAGAAAAGTTTGCGATAGCTCTGGTTCCTGTAAAATTCTGGGAATGAAATCAGATTCCTTTCTTGTCCTCAGTATTTCCTGAGTAGTTATCTACTTGGTTAACACCAGGGGATCCAGCAAAAGCAGTATCTTAAGGGATTGTGACCCATTATAGCCAGGGCAGTGCAAGATGAAAATGAACTGTTTTCCATCCATGGTTCACTGGTCCAGCACTCTAAACCACAGTCAGCACAAAAGTTTAAAGACCCATCCTTCTGCCTTGCTTTGTACCTTGAACTTATTTGAAGGGTAGATGACAAATAGCTTTTGGAGGATGCTCTTCTAGTGGTGTTACTCTAAGTGTCTGGGCTACAGATTAATATTGCTTCATCCAGGGTGACACAGATCTCTAAGTTGAAGAAGACTCAAAGTTGTGTCTGAATTGAGTAGCATCATCACAGATTTAAAGCATATGTGTTCAGCATGTTAGCTGACATCCTATTCTGGGAAATGAAGACTATAGTTATTTTGAAAACATGTTGCTTAAACTTTAAGCTCAGAAAACTTGAAGAATGACTTTGGCACTGAGACATGACTAAAAGTATTTAGCACCTAAGGACCTTGCTAAAGTTCCTGATTTTCTTTCTATTTTTCTTCCGAATCTCTGGCAGCAGTTTGAACACTGTTCTTCTGATTTCAATTTCTCCATACCTGGCTTCCTTGCTTTCTTTTTGGTACTGAAGAGGTGTCATTGAATATTTCATCTTCTGTCTGTAATGCTTTGACTTTTATTTCCTCCTCAAATTCATGCATGGTTTGTCAACATATACTACTGGTTGTACAATGTAATAAAGTCTGAATTCTATGCCACTTATCAGTATTCTTTGGTTACCAAACTCTCACATGGCAGCATCCAATCAGCCTGACACTTCGGGTGCTACTCTTGAGTGATGGAGGAAGGTCATTGGCTAATAAAGGAACTGCCCTGGCCCATTTTATTGGTTAGAGGATAGGTGGGAGGAGAAAACAGGACAGAACACTGGGAGGAAGAGGAAGTGAGGTCAGAGACTCCACAGCTCTCTCGGGAGCAGACGCCTAAGAGAGAGACGCCATGCCCCGCTCCCGGGATGAAGCTCCGACCCAGGATGGACTAGGCTGGAATCTCCCCGGTAAGCGCACCTTGGGGTGCTACATACAGATGATTAGAGGTGGGCTAAATTAATATGTGAGAATTAGCCTAGAAGAGAATGGGCCAGGCAGTGTTTGGAGGAATACAGTGTCCGTGTAATTATTTCGGGGCATAAGCTAGCCTAGCAGGCAGCCGGGGTGCTGGGGACGCAGCCCCGCCGCCCTTATTACTTAACTTGAGTCCAACATTTTATCCTCTCAGATATCACAACCTAATCTTGGTTAATAAAAGGAGTACTCCTTCTATGGGTAAATTATATCATTGTCTGACTTAAATATTTTAAGAAATTACCACTTGTGTTCCTTATCTCCGTGTCTAATTCATCTGTAAGGAAAATGTTACCCCCTGCCACAGTACCACTGATGGTCATGATTTGGTTTTCATGGCAAGATCAGTGCTTTGAATGATGAAACTGCAGAGTAGGTTCTCAGGAAACCTCTTTGTGAATAAATATATGAATTAATGAAAATGTGACTGTTGTGGAGTCTTCAAGGTAGACTTGGTATAAAGTCCATAGCATTCTACAAACTCTTCTTTTTCTTTTTTTTTTAAATAAGTAAAACTTTTGCAGATAGTGTCTTAGGGTTTCTATGGCTATGAAGATAAACCATGACCATGGCAATTCTTACAAAAGAACAAATTTAATTGAGTAGCTTGTGGTTTCAGAGGTTTAGTCCATTATTGTCATGGTGGGACATGGTGCCATGCAGGTAGACATGGTAGGAGCTGAGTGTCATACATCTTGACTTGCAGGTAGCAGGATGTAGTGATATATCTTGAGCATATATAAGAGTGAAACACTTCCTCCAAGACCACATCTATGCCAACAAAGCCATACCTCCTAATAGTGCCACTTCCTTTGGATGCCATTTTTCTTTCCAACCATCTCCGTAAGGTTCTATGCCTCATTGGTAAAACATAGAGATGAATAATGGTAGAATAGATATGTTATTTATAGGAATTCATACTGGCTATTTCCTTCTCTGTAAATAAGCCTGATTATAATTCTGTTAGTGCTTATTCCAAGGGGACAATGAGTATCTTTGCTTAAAGTAGGGTTTCTAGAGTAAAACTGACAATCAGGCTTTTTGTTCAAGTCTTCAAAAGGAAAAGCAGAAAGTAAAAAGCTCCTATCCAAGTCTCCAGGCTGGCCAGAACATCTGTGCCAATCTAAATGCTACAGGCTTTCATTGGTCATGTTGTATTCTGAGGAATTTGCTTCCCTATAGCCATCCTTAACCTCTGTATCTTATATTCTTTGTGTTCCATTTTCTGCAATGACTCCTTAGTTTTGGGAGAAGGGGTGTGATGTAGCCTGTGCTCAGGTTGTGGCATTGTTTTGAGAGGTTTTGGAAGCAGTAGAAGAACCTCCTTGGATGACGTAGGTCACTGGGAAATGAGCCTGACTTTGCACCCTGACCCCACTTCCTGACATTTCTCTTTTGTCTAATCAACCCAGATGTAAGCAAGAAGCCTATGCTCCTGCTGCCACAGGTGAAAGCCACTACTGTTTGCCATGTGTTCGACTCCACAACAGACTGTGCCAACAAGTCCTGAGCCACAAACAAGCCTTACCTCCGTCAACTTGTTTCTCATTGGGTATTTTGTCACAAGAAAATTAATGGATGAATACATCAAGTATCAAAGGATCTTACAAGTTCCAAAGGATAAGGGAAATGTTAAAAGTAGGTATAGACTACAGAGAAGATGTTGTCTTAAAAAATACCTTGCTGTGGTAAGAGCTTTGGCAGGTAGGTGAACAGTGAACTGTGAAGGCATTAAGTTGTTTCTGGCCTGTCCCTAAACTAGTCAGTTAAACAGCAGCATGATCAAATGTGTGTTTTAGAAGGGGTTAAGTTAGAAAGTATAGTAAGCATGTGTACAAACACACACACACACACACACACACACACACAAATCAGAAAATTCTCCATAAGCAAAACTCTGAAGTTGTGACTTTACAGTTTCCAATAACATCAATAAACAAATAAGAGACCATTTTCCATCTATGCCCAACACTGCATCTTTCAAAAAATGCTAGCTGCTCTTAAAATTTAGTCTCCTATAAATAGTTCACTTGGGTTCTATATTTATAGTATACTGGAAGAACCTATTTTTTCCTTTTGTAGGATGACTAGATGTGTTTGGACAAATAGACACAGTTAGCTTTATAATTACTTAGTAAGGTGTGTATCAACAAGGTGCTTGGCCCTATATTTAAAATATAACAACTGTCGAACAACAATTTCAGTTAATAATTAAAATGTCTTCCTATACTATATGTTTTCAGCTTTTATTTTTCAGTGGTTTCCCCACATCAATTGGGATTTCAGGCACCTTACTTTTGAAATAATCAATCATGAAAATTAAGTATTTTTAATTTTTGGCTCTAAAATATTGATAAAATGATAGCTTAAGATTTATTCATGTGGCAGACGCCGCTGTCCCCTCTCACCGCTTGCTGCAGCCATGGTCAACCCCACCGTGTTCTTCGACATCGCGGCCGATGGCGAGCCCTTGGGCCACGTCTCCTTCGAGCTGTTTGAAGACAAAGTTCCAAAGATAGCAGAAAACTTTCGTGCTCTGAGCACTGGAGAGAAAGGATTTGAATATAAGGGTTCTTCCTTTCACAGGATTATTCCAGGATTCATGTGCCAGGGTGGTGACTTCACACGCCATAATGGCACTGGCGGCAGATCCATCTACGGAGAAAAATTTGAGGATGAGAACTTCATCCTGAAGCATACAGGTCCTGGCATCTTGTCCATGGCAAATGCTGGACCAAACACAAACGTTTCCCAGTTTTTTATCTGCACCACCAAGACTGAGTGGCTGGATGGCAAACATGTGGTCTTTGGGAAGGTGAAAGAAGGCATGAACATTGTGGAAGCCATGGAGCGTTTTGGGTCCAGGAATGGCAAGACCAGCAAGAAGATCACCATTTCCGACTGTGGACAACTCTAATTCTTTTGACTTGCGGGCTTCTTACCCACCAGACCATTCCTTCTGTAGCTCAGGGGAGCACCCCAGCCCCATCTGCTCGCAGTACCCTGTAATCTCTTCTCTCACTGAAGTTCTTTGGGTTCCATATTTTCCTCATTCCCCTTCAAGTCTAGCTGGATTGCAGAGTTAAGTTTATGATTATGAATAAAAACTAAGTAAGAAAAAAAAGATTTATTCATGTGTCTGGATGAGTTTTTGAGGAAAGTATGAAAGATAAAATATATAAACACTCATATTTGTAACCAATAAAACCACAGCATATTGATTCTATTAAAGCCGCACTACTGTTCACAGGTGCTAATCATTTGTACTTCCCTAAGAAAATACTGCAGAGTAGGCATTTTGTAATTGATAAAGTCTATTGATGTATGGTCCCGGAGGCTGGGAAGTAAAAGATCAAGAGACCAAGGTAAAGGATTTATTTTATGCTATTCTGTGAAGAAGGCAGAAAAATAAAAAGAAAGCAAGATACAGAGGGAGGTAAGGGGGTGAGAGTAGAATAAAAATAAGGAGGGAAAGAGGGGAGGGAAAGAGGGACAGGTGGAGAGAGAGACAGCGAGAGAGGGGGACAGAGCCATTCCCAATGGTAAATAATGTGCCACAAAAGCTTTGCCCTAATTTCTGGGTCCATACCTTTATCACAATTATTATCACACAGCAGGGAGGGGTCAACTACAGAACAGCTGCATTAACTACAGGACACATACAAACCACCTAATTCCTCCAAGGTCCTGTGTCTTGAGGGTGCTCAGAATAGAAAATGAGAGCGGTAGAGTGGATAATAAACAGAGAGAGGAGAAAGCAGAAATCTGAATTGGGTTTCATACACTCCTCAAAGAAGATGCAATGCCAACCTGCATGGCAATGATAACCCAGCCCTGCTCTCTGGGCAGGGTATGGATGCCCCTGGAGAGCTGGGTGATTTGGGCAAGTATTTTGTCTCTAAGGTTCTTGGGGAATATCTTATTTGAATCCTCATATTAGAAGATCTGATTCTAAAAATGTTCTTTTATTAAAATGTATGCTATATTTAGCTAAGGTTTGAGTTTGGAAACAACTTCGTGCTGCTGACTATTTTTTTTTTTACATCTGGAATTATATTATCCTAGCAGAACAAATATGGGTTCTGGGTTCAGAGAGGCCTATGACACATGTATTGAGGGCAAGGAGGTTATGTTCTGCACTTTAGCCCCTCTAAAAGTATCAGAAATGGTGACTCACCAGTTATCTGTGGCTACAGAGCTGCTTGGAAACATTTCCTCTTGGAGGGAGTAAGGGCCTCAGAGTTTCATGCAACTTCCAAGAAAGTTCCAAGACTTGTGAAACACTTGAGATTCTCTAAGTGGTAAGTGCTGGAGGAGAGGAGACATTTCAGTGATGTAGTTCCTTGCAAAATGAACAGTATATCCAGTAATGCAACATCTGTGAGTTGACATCCTTGTGATGATAGATTTTGTGGCGCTATAGATACTCAAGTCAACCAGCCATCTGTCATTGTCTATTTGGTATTAATAGAAATAGACGCCTTAAGTGTCCAAACATCTATCTTCTCCAGGACAAATTCCCAATTGCTCTAGAACACATTTTGATACTCTGACCTAAATATCTGAGATAGGAAGTTGGGGGAAATATTTAACTAAATTTACTTATTATTACAAAGAAAGATAATATTGTCCTTATTATTTCTTTTAGTATTAACCTATTGATATGTATAAATTGCAAAACTGTTTACATATATTTAAGAAGGAAATTTTCTATAGTAAAGATTATAGGAAAGAAAAAATATTCCATGAATAAAGACACTTTTCAAAATTTGATATCAGCAGACCAGCACTGACTCATGACTGAGGTATGATGACCATGTTAGTAACATCTCTGATTATTCGTTTCTGCATCTGCAAAACAGAGAATAGATGATTTTATTCTGTCTGTAGAGTACCAAGGAGACCATTTATTCCGGGAAGGTAATATAAACGGTAATTACTTCTTAAACCACCATTCTTCAAATGATTACTGATTTTTTTCTTACATTATAGAAACATTAATTTTACAAGTTTTGATGTTTTTAGTTATATGTGTCAAATGTTAAATTTGAGGAGAAAGCCAAACAAAAATCAATAGCACTGATTACCTTACCAAATAAGTCCTTTGTGGGAAGGTGTAGGATGTTACTTGGTGTGAGTTGCTTAAAGATGGACATCCCTAGGATAAATGATAACAGTTTTTTATTCAGCATCTATGACATCTTAAGAGAGTAAAATAAACTATAACGACTGTTGATGAACTCATTAAACTGTATAATGTTATTTAGGTTTTTTTATTTTATCAAGACAGGGTTTCACTGTAGCTTTGGAGCCTTGGTGTGGGAAGTCCTTTTGTGTATGTTTTAATTTTATTGGTTAATGAATAAAGAAGCTGCTTTCAGCAAATGGTTTAACAGAATATAGCCAGGCTAGAAAAAAATATAGAGAGAGTAGGCAGAGTTCTAGAGAAGCCATGGAACTGCCCCAGGAGAAAGATGTGAGCCTCATGGTAAAATATGAAATAATAGAAATGGGTTAATTTAAGATATAAGGGCTAGCTAGCAATACACTTAAGTGATTGGCCAAGCAATGATTTAAATGATATTGTTTCTGTGTGATTATTTTGAGTCAGGGCAGTCGGCAGCATCCAATAACAGAGCCTACGCTGGAACGAGCTCTTTTTAAGCAGGCTGGCCTTGAACTCACAGAGATCCACCTGCCTCTGCCTGCCTAGAGCTGCGATTAAAGGCATACACTACCACCACCTGGCTATAATTTAGTTTTTAAAGTAATGTCTGAACCTACTGTTGCTACCATGACTAGAGACCTGTTAGTTCCAGTTCATAGATTTCTGGTTAACCAACAGCACAAACACTGCTCTATTGGGACCTTAAACATTGAGCTACTATCTGCTTTCCTATTTACTTCAGACTTGCTACTAATCTTGAAAAAGCCTCTTTGGTCTGGAATCCATTGACATTTATAATAGCATTCCTAAGTATACTTAACCTGTTTGGCCCATTTTTTTTTCTATTTAAACAAACACAATGTGGTCCTCCACACCCACTTTATCTGCATCATGATCACGTCTGACCCTGATGACATGACATGTGTGCCTTTCTATGGAAATGTGAGAACAGTAAATGATCTTCTCAGTGGATATTAACTTCTTTTCTGTTGACATCTTAATAAAACAATGGGTTTATCCAAACACCATAATATGGTAGAATTCATATGGACATCAGCATTTAAGGTTTTCTTGTCATTTTTCTGTGACACTATTTTTCTAGTTTTCTGATGTGACTGAAAACTTGAAGGAGTATATGCATGGTACATACATGTTCTGTCCCTGAGAGTAGAGGTTAGATTTAGCATTTTATTTTATTCTTTTTTTTCACAATAATGTTACTGGAGACTGGAATTTATTAAGACGTTTAAAAAGGCAATTTCAAAAAGACAGGGTCCTGGAGGCTTGGCAGGATTCAGTCCCTGCTTTCTTCTCTTTTTAATAACTGTTATACCACATCAAGAGTTGGTCTAACACTACTGATAGTCCCATGCTTATTTGAGGTGCCTCGTGTATTTGAAAGGATAGCAATCACTATTCCTAGGAACACTAGAATTTAGAGTACTCAACTCTGACTGTGTTTAAAATTTTCATTGTAAAACATAATGAAATGAGTTGTTATGTCTGTCTTACATTAACATATCAAGCAATACAGATGTGAAAATCCACAGTCACATAGGGAGTGATTCTATATTTCCATATCTAAAAAATGTTTCCCTACATGAACTATATAACTTAGAGATGTACATTTCAGATTTGATATGTTTTCATTTCATTAGCTTACCTATCAGCACTTCATATGGTTATATCTGTTTTGGGGTTGAGTGTTTACTTCCTTTTAATAGCATTTGTAAGTGAAGCCCTAACAAAAATACATGAACCTCTTTGTTTCTGTTGACATCACTATAGAATTTTCTGACAGGCTGATGTGTTTCAAGACTTATTAGCTGGCTATGCTATTTTCAGAGGTTGTTGAACATTTTAATCATGAAGCATAGCTGGAGGAATTGGGTGATCTGTGAAGTGAACTTTGAGGCTTATAGCTTGGCCCTGCTTCTGATTCATTCTCTGTTTCTTGATCTGCCCACACATAAGTAAGCAGTTATACTCCTGGTCCACACCTCTAAACCACTTCCCTGTTAAGATGGAAAGTACCCTCAAACAGTGAACAAAACTAAATCTGCCCTCCCTTAATTTACTTCTTGACAAGCTTGATCACATTCATGTTAAAAGTAACTAAAACAGGATATTGGTACAAGGATTGGGGTTTCTGTAGTAAAATGACAAATTGTGTTGTTTACAGACCTTTGGAACTAGTTTGCAGGAGGGATGTGAAAGAGCATGGAATTGTGGCTTAGAAAAAAAATCAAATCCTAGAATGTTGTAAGCAAAGATTAATGAAAAATACTGGTGTGAATGTTAAAGACCAGAATGATAACAGAAATGTAAACAGTTAAGACAATATCGATGAGATTTTCTAGCTGAATGAGGACTTTGTTGGTAATTGGACCTTATTAGGAACTTTGCAATTTGTCTCATGTTTTGACAAAAAAATTTGGTTGTGTTTGACCATATTCTGAATATTTTCATGATTATTAATTCAAAATTAATGTACTAAGTTGTTCGGTGGAGAGAATATTAAAATGTATAATATCTAGACTGTGGTGTCATCATCATTTACTGCATTCGCCCAGGTTTACATTAACAAAAAGTGTAGAAAATAGAGTCAAAATAAATAAAATATGTGTAGTTGTTGAGGAAGTGTTCATGAACTCATTTAAAGTTGCAGACAGAAATATTCAGTTATAGGAAGAGATTAAACATAATTAATATTGAGAATCGGGCAGTTTTGGAACAAGTAGCTATAATTGTTAAAAGATTTTAGTGACATTAAAGATAAATGTCTAGCTTTGCAC